CTCCTCATCATCCTCGTCCTCGTTCTTGCTCGCCGCCGATCCTTGCGAGCCTTGCGGCCCACCTACCTACCTTCCTGGTTTTTGCGCTGTCCCTACGGGTCTGTGCCTTGAAGAGGCGGCAGGCAATGTCGGGCCCATTCGCGACTAGATAGTCCACACGGGGATTCCGACTCATCATCCGAAGGGCACTGGGCCCAGAGAAGACAGAACACCGCAGAAACTTTCTGCGAATTGCGTCAATCAAACTACCCTCGTCATCGCGCTAACCGCTCTGTGCAGCAACCGTCGGACCCCTTCATTTTTCGGTTAGGTCCGCCTCTTGGGGAGGATTTGTTGGCGCCCCGGCACATTGAGCCCAACATACGCCAGTTGTTTGCTCGCTTGCGGTTCCTCTGCTTGTGGCCTTCTGTGCAGGACATGAAGCCCTTCCTGCTGGGGGGCCCCGAGCCCCCCTTCCCCCCACCACCCGCCCTCCCCGAAGGCCCCCTCCCCCCCCACCCAACAGCGCAGGGGGAGACGGGCGACAGCGCAGGTGGACCCAGTGGGCCAAGCAGAACGCCCCCGTCGAGGCGCTCTCTCTCGGGGGCGACGATAGGGGCGAATAGCCCCAGGGGAGGGGGCACTACATGGCGGGTTCTGGCAACCCTGGACCCTTACAATGTTGCCATCTCTCGAGTGGACGACTTCTACTTCCGGCTTCCGCCGCCCTTCCGCCATCGGAGGCCGCCTCGTCTTACCTCCGCCGCTTTTCCGGCGAAGAAGAGATGGCAACTCCTTCGATCCTCAAGCAGAGGCCCTTCCCGGACCTCCGACGTCGTGATTTTTCATAAAGTCGACCCCTAGAAGTCTGGACCCCCTCCCTGGGACCGGTTTCTTGTCCCTAATCGTTTTTTGACGGTCCCGGGAGCCTGGTGAGGGCCCCCGGAGGCCGAAAATTTGGAAAAACATCCCGTCGTGCTTTCTTTCACAGCGCGAGGGGGCCTGGGCTTCTGGAACGCCTCACCTGTACCCAGAGGCGCCGATGGGCCATACCTTCGGCGAGGCCCCCAGGCGAAGACGTGCGGTGCCTGCCCTGGGGCTCCTCGCTCCTCCTCCCGTCGCCTCCGACTGTCCTATACGGTCGGAGCGACGGGCCCAGAGATCCGATGTCGTGATTTTTTCCAGTGCGGGGTCCCCAGAAGTCTCGACCCCTTCCCGAGGACCGGGTCTTCATCCCGAGTCGTTTGTTGACGGTCCTGGGGCCCAGCGAGGGCCCCTCTGGAGGCCGAACGTTGCGACAAGCCTCCGCCAGGATTCTTGTCAATGCGCTGGATCTCTCGGGGGGCACCGCCACGACCAAACTCACGCGACGACGCGCCCCGTGCCGAGCCCGAGGCGCGGACCTCTCGAGGCGTGGCCGGCGCTGGGCTCCCTGGCCGGCCTCGCCCGGAGAGGCGCGCGCCGCGAGACGCTCCGGGCGGCGCGCCCCGCGGCCTGGGCGCCCCGCGCCGTGGCCCCACCACAGCCCAAGGGGGCTCCGCGCACGCTGCTCCTCCTCCTCCTCCTCCTCCTCCTCCTCCTCCTCCTCCTCCTCCTCCTCCTCCTACCCCTCTTCCTCCTCCTCCTCCTCCTCCTCCTCCTCCTCCTCCTCGCTCTGCGAAAAAAGCACGACGAAGGTTTGGGACCATTTTCGGCCTCCCAGGGCCCTCAGCGGGCCCCGGGACCCTCAGAAAACGGCTCAGGACGAAGAGCCGGTCCCTTGAAGGGGTCCAGACCTCTGCTCTGGGCGTCGGGGGTCTGGGTCCCTTCCCGCCCCGGGAGCCCGCGGCCTCCCGAGGCAGCCCAGAAGGCTGTCAGCAAGGTGGCCAACGAGGCAGGCAACGAGGCAGGCAACGAGGCAGCCAAGACGCCTGTCAGGCGTGGCCGTCGGCGAGGCAGCCAAGGAAGCTGCCAACGTGGCCGTCCGCGAGGCAGCCAGCCGCCCTGAGTTTGCACAGCGGTGGAATTGGTGCCCGCCGGCGCCAGCAAAAGCGGGCTTCGACCGGCTCTCCTGGGATTGGCACGCCCGAGCTGAGCACGGCAGAAGCGATCGCAGCCGCTGCGGAGCGGGCGACCTCTCTCGTCTCAAGTTGGACGACGCCCGCGGCGATGCCGACAGCGAGCCCTGCAGAAAACGAGCGTGGGTCTTCAGAAGCCTCCTGGTCCTTAGATGGGGTCCGAGACGACGGGGTCGGAGGATTGCACCGCATCGGCGCTGCTTCGGTCATGCGTCAGCGACGTCAGCGATGCACTGGCAACGTCGGGGAGGAGAAATTCGGGCTCCGCATCGAGCCGCATCGCGGATGCATCGGCGATGCAGCGCGCGATCCTCCGACCCCATCTACTCGGACCCCATCTGGGAGGCCTAGCCCAGACCCCCGACGTCGTGATTTTTCGCAACGTCGACCCCCAAAGGTCTGGACCCCCTCCCCGGGACCGGTTTTTCATCCTGAATCGTTTTTTGAAGGTCCCGAGGCCCGTTAAGGGCCCCCAGAAGCCGAAAACGGCCGAAAACCTCCCGTCGCGGATTTTTGTATGACGGGATCATGTCTGGGTAAGGCCTTCGTGCCCGTTCTGTCCGCACTGCTGGGAGGCCTCCACGCCCTCCGCCACAGAGCGGCGACCAGAGAGGGCGCCGGGCCGCGACAGGCCGGCGGGCGGCAAGGTGCCCGCGGGGGGCCGGGCGGGCCTGCGGCGGCAGGGCCTCGAGCCGCCCGGGCCGACCGTGTCCAAGCTGGAGAACCTTGGAGGGCACCCTCGCCCGGGATGCGCAAGAGCAGCCAACACGCACGAAGAGCACGAGGGCCCCCTCTCCGGACCGACCTCGATCTCTTAGACCTATACCTCGGTCCGGCCGTGCTGCTGGGAGGCCTCCGCGCCCTCCGCCAGAGCGGCGCCCGCACCCGCCCTCCGGCCCTCGTTGCTCCTTGCCCTCCCAGAGATCCAGTCAGTCAGTCAGTCATTCAGAAGCCTTGCACCAGACGGTGCGCTAGCAGAGGTGGAAGAATGCATCAAGTGCGCCACGATTGCCCTGCCGATGCCCACGCTCGCGCTGCACCGCCCTCTAGGCGGAAGTACGCGAGCCAGGCCAGCAGAATTCCGACGCTCCAGAAAAGTTGGAGCGGCGGAGGGCTTTGTTGGTCGTTTTCGGCCTCCGGGGGCCCTCGCCGGGCCTCGGGACCGTCAGAAAATGGCTCAGGACGCAACACGGACCCTAGGGAAATGGTCCAGACCTCCAGGGCCCACGCATCGACAAAAAATTGGAGCAGCCGGATGTCTGGGCTCCTCTCTCTTTCTCCGCCTCATTCGCTCCCGCGCCCGCTCCCTGCCGCGCTGCCTCTCCCTCGCTCGCTCCCTCGGCCCCCCCACCCCTCCCCTGACCTTCCAGAGTGCTGAAAAATTGTCCTCTAGACCTGAAGTACCTGGACTGCTTCAAACCTCGACAGGGATTTGGACGTCATGGTCCAGGTGCTAATTCTTAGCCCTCCTGGAAGGTCAGGGGGGAGGAGGGGGAGCGGGACCCAGAGATCCAACGCGTGGAAAAAATCAAGACGGAGAGTTCTCGCAGTTTTCGGCCCCTCCAAGAACCCTCGCCCGGCCCCGGGACCGTCAAAAGACGGCTCGGATGAAGGACTGGTCCTGGGAAACGGGTCGCGACTTCTGGGAGGCCATGTTGAAAAAGTCACGACATCGGATCTCTGGGGAGGGAGCGGGGGAGAGAGAGAGAGAGAGAGGGATCCAGGAGGGGATCCATCCAGGGGCCGCTTATTTGTCATCCCGAGCAGCTTGGGAGACGGTCTGGGGCCTCGGCACGGGCCGCCAGACGGCGACGACTGTCAAACACCCTCCCCGCCGTCGTCATGTTTCTGCCACGACCGTCTGGGAAGGGCTTTCCCTCCTGACCTTCCAGGAGGGCTAGAAAATAGCACCAGGACCTTGGCGTCTCAATTCCTGTCGAGGTTTTACACAGTCCAGACAGGTATATAGGTCTGGAGGGCCATTGTCTAGCACTCCGGAAGGTCAGGGCCTCTCTCTCCCTCCTCGCCCTCCTAGGGTTGGATCCCCCCTCGGGCGGGATCCCTCTCCTTGGGGGAACAAACACGGCACGAGCATAAACTTCCATCGCTCCGCGTGGATTTCTAGGATCTGCGCTGGACCTCCCTCGCTGGCGCGCGGAGCTCGCCAGGGGCGGCGCCGGAGGCGCCGCCAGGGGGTCCCAGCGCAGACCCAAGATATCCGAGCGGGCCGCCCACAGTTTGGTTTTATATGTCAGTTTTGTTCTTCGCTTCTCGCACTCCTGGGGGCTGGATCCCCTCCTGGATCCCTCTCTCTCTCTCTCTCCCGCTCCCTTCCCAGAGATCCGATGTCGTGACTTTTTCAACATGGCCCCCCGGAAGTCGCGACCCGTTCCCCAGGACCAGTCCTTCATCCGAGCTGTCTTTTGACGGTCCCAGAGCCCCTCCGTCTTGATTTTTCCCACGCGCTGGATCTGGGTCCCGCTGCCCCTCCTCCCCCCTGACCTTCCAGGAGGGCTGAAACATAGCACCTGGACCATGGCGTCCGAATCCCTGTCGAGGTTTTAAACAGTCCAGGTCTGGAGGGCCATTTTTTGCCACTCTGGAAGGTCAGGGCAGGAGGGGTGGGGGAGCGGGCGAGGGAGAGGCAGCGGGGCAGGGAGCGGGTGCGGGAGCGAAGGCGGCGGAGAAAGAGAGAGGGGCCCAGACATCCAGCCGCTCCAACTTTTTTTGTCGATGCGTGGGCCCCGGAGGCTTATGGACCCTTTCCCTAGGGTCAGCGTTGCGTCCCGAGTCGTTTTCTGACGGTCCCGATGCCAGGCGGGAGGGCCCCTGACGTCAAAATCCCCGTCGAGGCTTTCAGCAGTCCAGATGGGTCTTTAGCTGTGGAGGGCCATGCTTTAGCACTCTGGAAGGTCAGGGCCTCTCTCGCCGCTGCGCGCGGCCAGCCGCGGGGCCCGGGAGCTCCTGGGACCGCTGGAAGTCCTGCCGCAGCGCGGCCTCGGCCGCCTGCGCGTCCCGGAGCGCGGCCTGCAGGCGCAGCAGCTCCTGGCGCAGGCCCTGCGCCTGGGCGGTGCGGCTCTCGCGCGGGGACGCCGACGACGACGACGCCGCCACCGACGACGCCGACGACGACGACGTTGATGCCGACGACGACGACGAAGACGCCGACGACGAAGATGCCGACGACGACGACGACGGCGACGACGACGACGAAGACGCCGACGACGACGATGGCGGTGACGACGACGACGACGACGACGGCGACGACGACGACGACGACGGCGACGACGACGACGCCGACAACGACGACGATGACGCCGCCGGGGGGAGGGTCGCGAGGGAGGTGTAGACGGCCGGGTGGGCGGGCGGGCAGACGCACCGCCGGGGCAGCGCGGCTCTCTCCTTCCCAGGAGAGCAAGCGTGACGGAGGCTTTTTTCGCAAGTTTCGGCCTGGAGGGGGCCCTCGCAAGACTCCAGGACCGTCAACAGGGCGACTCGGGATGAAAAGCCGATCCTCGGGGATGGGTCGAGACTTCTGGGAGCCCCGCCTTGAACAAAAGCTCACGACATCGGGCCTCATGGAGTCTGGGCGACACGAGACTTGAAGTGCCGAAGCTTCTGTCGTGACGCCGCTCGTGCCGCTCTCTGCCAGTATCCGTAGTCAGCTTGGCCGTGCAGAAGGCTCACCGGGCAAGATCACAGCAGGGCTCGGAGAGCTCCGCAGGGACTCTCTGAGCCCTGCTGTGAGCTTGCTGGGTAAGCCATCTGCGGCGACATGGCTGCAAGACCAAGCGATCTCGGGGGGCGGTCCCGGGCTCCTCGTCGCCCCTGTGGGACTTTCCTGTGGTCCTTCCTCGCCTCCCTTCTCGGACCCCCTAGCGTTAGGTCGGGCATGTCCTCCAACCGGCGGATTGTGGAAGAAAACGGAAGCATGGTCAACCAAAAATCCCCAATAGTCCAAAGAGCACGAAAAACCGCCACCAGACCATGTATGAGCTATTCTTGAATACTCCTTCTGTAGAGGGACATGCCCGACTCAACCCCAGCGAGACGCTGCCAGGGAAACGAACCACTCGGGACGAAGAGCCGGTGCCAGGGCAAGCCGGGTCCAGACGCCCCCGGGGCCCGGCGGCGGCCCCCCGGGGCCCGGCGACCCAGCCCCTCGTGGCTTCTGCCCGTCGCGGGCACACGTCTGGGGTTCTGGGGGCCCCACGTCGTGAGGGCACGGCGGCCTCCAGGGCCCAAGCCCGGCCTCTCGCCGTCGGCGTTCTCGCCGTCGTCGCCGTCCTCCTCGTCCTCGTCCTCGTCCTCGTCCTCGTCCTCGTCGTCGTCGTCGTCGTCGTCGTCGTCGTCGTCGTCGTCGTCGTCGTCGTCGTACTCGTCCTCGGCTACTTCTTCGTCCTCGTCGCGGCTGGCCAGCCGCCCACGCGGCTGACGGCGTCCGCCGTCTCCTTTTTCCTCGAAGCGCTTCATGGGGAAACGTTCAGATTTGGCGGGCGATGCAGTCAACCCGTATAGTAAGGATGAGCCACGTCCCAAGGTTACCCTTGCATCCCTGCCCTTTCTTTCAGCCCATCTTCAGCGACTTTCGCTGGCCAACCTCGTTCGAAAAACATTCACATGGCCCTCCAAGGCCCTTGCATCCTTACCGCGCATCCTTATTATACGGGTTGACTGTAAATGAGGGTGGGGCCAGAGAGGCCCCCTTTTGGGCCCTCAAGGCCCCCTTTTGGGGAGATGGCCAGCGCTTGCCCCCCTCTCGCCTCTGGCACTGGGGGCAGCCCCCCCTCCCTGAGAGGTCCCCAGGCACCTCAGGCGCATGGTTTCGGCCGCCGGCCTGGATCTCTCCGCAGTCCGAGCCTGGGAGGCAGGAGAGGGAGGAGGATGATGAGGAGGAGGAGGAGAAGAAGGAGGAGGAGGAGAAGGAGGGAGGGAGGGAAGGAGGGAGGGAGGGAGGTAGGAGGGGGAGGAGGAGGAGGAGGAGGAGGAGGAGGAGGAGGAGGAGGAGGAGGAGGAGGAGGAAGCGGAGGGAAGACCAGTGCAAACCCAAGACTCATCAAGGATATTTGAATAAATCCTGCCCAAGAGCTCCCTCTTCATAGAAAAGGGATTAATTTCCACCTGAAGGAAGTGCTCCGTTGGGAGACCACCGTTTGGAGATCCTGAAGCGCCAAAACAGCATGCTCGGGACTTCAACGCCACGAATGAACCTGACTGTTACGTCTTGACGGTCCAGAACCGTGCCAAAACACCATTCCTCAAACTCTAACACCGCGAATCTGCGAACCTGTTGCGCCATGGTAATCCTAAGGCGTTCCAAAACACAGTGTCTGGTACGTTAGCCATGGGCACCAGTGAAACAGTTGCAAATGTTGAAAGCGAATGCGCGCGGCGCCACGGCGACAACCACATATGAAAACCACCCGCCCTCAATCCGTGAAGCTCTTGCAAATATATAAAACGAATGTGCGCGGCGCTACGGCGAATGCCACATGCTGAACCCCGCCCTCAATCCGTGAAGCTCTTGCAAATGTTCAAAAACATGTGCGCGGCGCTACTGCGAGAACCACATATTGAAAAACACCCGCCCTCAATCCGTGACAACATTGCAAGTCTTATCAACGATATTGCGCGGGACTAAAAAGCGAGAGCCACATATTGAAAACCACCCGCCCTCAATCCGTACAATTCTTGCAAACTTTGAAACGACTGTGCGCGGTGCTGCGGCGAGAACCACATATTGGTTATCCCGGCAAAGCAACCTAACAGCGATATGTAGAATCATATCTGAAAGCATTCCCCTTAAGATTCAGATGAAAATCCAGTTGTAGAATTCTGCTGTTCTCGCAGTCGCAGTCGCATTCGCGATGACAGTCGCAGCGGCAACGGCAGTCGCAGTCACAGCCTCAGCCTCAGCCTGCCTCAGCCTCAGCCTGCCTCAGCCTCAGCCTGCCTCAGCCTCAGCCTCAGCCTGCTTCAGCCTCAGCCTCAGTCTGCCTTCAGCCTCGGCCTCAGCCTCAGCCTGCCTCAGCCTCAGCCTGCATCAGCCTCAGCCTCAGCCTCAGCCTGCCTCAGCATCAGCCTGCTTCAGCCTCAGCCTCAGCCTGCCTCAGCCTCAGCCTCAGTCTGCTTCAGCCTCAGCCTCAGTCTGCCTTCAGCCTCGGCCTCAGCCTCAGCCTGCCTCAGCCTCAGCCTGCCTCGGCCGCAGCATCAGCCTGCCTCAGCATTCAAAATGTGGCCCAGGAATGGAGTTCTGGGAACTAGAAGAACACGAAGTGGCCTACAGTTGGCTCCGGGCATTCAAAATCATGCCCAAGAATGGAGTTCTGGGAACTTGAAGAGCACGAAGTGGCCTACAGTTGGCTCCGGGCATCCAAAATGTGGCCCGGGAATGGAGTTTTGGGAAATCGAAGAGCACGAAGTGGCCTGCAGCTGGCTCTGGGCATCCAAAATGTGGCCCGGGAATGGAGTTCTGGGAACTCGAAGAGCACGAAGTGACCTACAGTTGGCTCCGGGCACTCAAAATGTAGCCCGGGAATGGAGTTCTGGGAGGTCGAAGAGCACGAAGTGTGTGACTGTTGACGAAAAACGAGCCCAGCTCTGTTCCCGGTTCTCCAGAATGTGGCCCGGGAATGGAATTCTGGGAAGTCGCAGAGCACGAAGTGTGTGACTGTTGACGAAAAACGAGCCCGGCTCTGTTCCCGGTTCTCCAGAATGTGGCCCGGGAAGGGAGTTCTGGGAGGTCGAAGAGCACGAAGTGTGTGACTGTTTGCGAAAAACGATTCCCGGTTCTCCTCCCCGGCACCCGCCCAGACCCCCCTGAGGAGTCATGATGCTCTCTTTTGACCCTACTAGAAACCGATCAGCAAACGCTGTTAGGTAAAAACCACCCGCCCTCAATCCGTAAAACTCTGGCGAACATATAAGACGAATGTGCGCGTCGCTAAGGCGAGAACCACATTTTGAAAACCAGCCGCTCCCGATCCGTGAAACGGTTGTCACTGTTTAAGCTTCAGGGGCATACGTGGTAAGAAAATCTCGCGCGAAACGCACGGCCCGCCCTTTCGACCAGCCTCGGGGTGCGACAGGGAGGAATTAGTTGTAAGGGAAAGTCATATAATGGAATGTCATGGAATGGAATGGAATGGAGAGGAGGAGGAAGAGGAGGAGGAGGAGGAGGAGGAGGAGGAGGAGAAGGAGGAGGAGGAGGGAGGAGGAAGGAGGCGGAGGAGGAGGAGAGGAGAGGAGGAGGCGGAGGCGGAGGCGGAGGAGGTAGGAGGAGGGGGCGGAGGAGGAGGAGGAGGAGGAGGAGGAGGAGGAGGAGGAGGAGGAGGATGGGGAGGAGGAGGAGGAGGAGGAGGAGGAGGAGGAGGAGGAGGAGGAGGAGCAGGAGGCTCAGTTGCCGACAGAGTGGAGGCTTCGGAGCTCAAGGCCCCTCGGTTCGGAGAAAGCTCCTCTCAGGGGGGAAGGGCCGTCCGAGGAGCGCCTCCTCGAGGGGCCGCGGGGCCCAGCCCCGCAGCCTGCACAAGAGGGGCCAGAACGAGGCGGCCGCCTTCTCGGCAGGCAGGGAGCCTCTTGGATCTTGGAGGGGATCGCCGTCGCCTCCCCGAAAACTCTGCGCCCCCACCCACGCCTTCTGAGAGGCTGGGGGGGGCCCTCTCGGAAAGTCGGCCCACCTCGCTCGCTCTGCCCCCATCACCAGACCCCCTTGGGGTCATGAGCAACATCAGATGGAAGCTTCACCAAATACTTTTCGTGTGTAACTTCTACATGTGGGAAAAGCCCTCGTTACGGCTACCCCACTCACCATCACCATCATGAACAACATCGTAACGGGATGTTTTTTCTATCTTTTCGGCGTCGGGCGGGGCCCAAGGCCGTCAGAAAACGACTCGGGATGAGAAAGCGATCCTGGGGAATGGGTCGAGACCTCCTGGGGGTTGACGTCATGATGAAACATGACGTCGGGGGCAACTTGCGGGCGTGTCTCTGCCCCCCCCCCGGTTCGTGGACGCCGAGGGCGCGCACCAACGGCGGCGGAGAGCGCCCGCTTCGGATACTGGAGAACTCCCCAATGGGGTCCGAGTAGATGGGGTTGGGGGATCGCGCCGAATCGCCGATGCATCGGCGCCGTCGGCGTGGGTTAAATCGGGCTCCACATCGAGCCACATCGGCGATGCATCGGCGATGCGGCGCGACCCTCAGACGCCATCTGTTCGCACCCCGCTCGGGGTGCCTGGAGAAATGGAGCCCTCCAGACTGGCAAGGCTTCGGGCTGCGCGCAGACAGCCCCCCAGGTAGCCCCAGCTGGCCTCAACAGCGCCCCCCAGGTAGTCCCAGCTGGCCTCAACAGGCCCCCCGAGTACGTACTGTCGGACTGGATTGGAAAGGACACGCGAGAGGACGCCTGACTCTTCCGACAGCAACGTGGCCCCAGAACACCAAAGGACATGCGGGTTGCATAGGTCGGGGTACACAACACAGGAGTGCCCTTGATTTGGCACAGTCGACCTACTAAGCAAGCTCGACTATAGTCCGGAGCGGTCTCAACACCGCAACGCTGGAGCGCGCAGCCGCCGGAGGCGGCGCCAGGATGCGGCGCCAGGATGCTGAGACCGCCGGGACTACTCGGGAGGCCTGCTGAGGCCAGCTGGGACTATACCTGGGGGCTCTGTGCGTAACCCGACGTCTTGCTTTTTCAAAAGGCGGGGTCCCCCGAAGTCCCGACCCTTTCCCCAATGCCTGCTTCTCATCCCGAACCGTTTTTTGACGGTCCCGGGGCCCAGCGAGGGCCCCCGGAAGCCGAAACCTGCCCAAACCCTCGCGTCGTGATCTCTTCACGTCGTGAGCATGCCTGGGTTGAGGGGCCTGGGGAGATCCGGCGGCGAGCCTGGGGGGCAAGCGAGCAGGGGCGGGCCTCCTCACAAGGCTGGAAGCCCCCGGGGCCCCCTGAGAAGTTCCCCGAGCCCCCCTCCAAGGCATAGAAGACCCGCCAGAAGGCGCGAGGGCTTCCGAGAAGCCCCGCCGCCTTCTGAGAAAGCCTTCTCCTCCTCTTCACTTCCCCAGAGAGATGGCGCCCTCCCGGGGCCGGGGCTTCGAAGGCGGCCGGGCGCCTCCTCGCTCGGCGCCTCCAGCTCCGCGGGAGGCGCCGGCTGCTCCACGGCCTCCGCCACCTCCTCGGCTGCCGCCTCCGCCCGCGGAGCCGCCGCCGGCGCCTCCTCGGGCGGCGCGGCCGGCTGCCCGGGGGCCTCCCGCGCCTCCTCGGGCGTCGCAGGGGCCCCGTCGGCCTCCACCGCCGCCGCCTCCACGGGCTCTGCCTGCGGAGGGGGCTCCAGGGCCTCCTCGGGCCGAGCTGCGGGCTGCTCGGGCGTCTCCTCCTGCAGCGCCTCCTCGGTCACGGGCTCCGCCTGCTGCGGGGCTGGCTGCTGGTAGACCTCGTGCTCCTGCTGGACGTCCTCTGGCGGCACCTCTGGGTGCCCCAGCGTCTCTTGCGCTGCGTCGAGCTTGGTTGGCTCGGACGCCTCCTCTGCAGCTTCCACCTGCTTGGGTCTCAGAACGCAGTTGCGGTGGGTCTAAGACGGCGACGATAGCATACGTAGTTGCAAGTTGATAACACTGAGCTGCCCAGAGGAATTGTAATCCAACAGTGCGCTTCCGCCATGATCGGCTCTTAGCACGCTGAGACGTAACACACAGTCATCCAGATACGAGCTGTTGAGACCAGAGCAGCCCTGGGCGGTGAACACTACACGCGGGCACATTGGGCACTTCTTGTACATCGCTCGCACACACAGAATGCGTCCGCACACGCGGACATCTGTGCGGCGCCATGGTTTACAATCAAGAGTGAGATCAAACTGGGCCAAGCTCTGGCATTAGTGCGCATTCGGATGAGAAATCCGCCCACCCTGTCGGCGCGTGCGAGGGGCTTCTCGGTTCGAGTCGTCGTCTCCGTCATTCGTGAATCGTCGCCTCTGCCGTCCTCTCCTCCTCGTCCTCCTCGTCGTCGTCTTCGGGGTCGGCGGCCCGTAAATCCCGCTGCAGAGGCGGCGGGGGGAGGCCACCAGCACACACACAAACACACATTGCGCAACATCGGCCACCGTGCCCCCTGGCGCGTGGAGGCGCGGCAAAACGCCCAAGTGCTGCCTGGGAGGGCTTGCAAAGACCTCCAAGGGTCGCCCCCCCCCCCCCCCCATCTCCCAGGTCAACGTTTGCTTGTTCGGAGTTTCGACACTGGGCAGAAGGGGGAGAGGCGGGGGTCTGGCTCCGGACATCTGCTGAGTGTGACTATTTGCAGCAGTGCGTCCTACGGAGTAGACTCCACCTGCTTGAGACAGGCGCCCAAAACAGCCAAGATCTACTCTATTGGGGGGGGGAGGGGGGTGCGAGGGCCCGCGCCGATCGGCGAAACAATGAATAAGAAAACGATAAAAGTGCTGCCTGGGAGGGTTTGCATAGCCC